GAATCCACATGTCTCGCAAATTTTCTGGTTTCCAAGTGAATACCTTGGCTTTGAACCTTGGAATCTACCGATGAATTGAAGCAAAAGTTCTGTGAAGGAACGCTCTTCACATTCACAATAAATCTCCCGTGAAGATGAAATCGAGCTCAACAGCCACGCCGGAGGGGACTGCTGAAACCTCGTTAAATAATTCAACAGATGTGTCCTCAATTGTGGATACGGAGGGACAAGTGACTGTTTACTCATGGAACGAAAAAGATCCTGAACTGATTTCACACATTTACTCACCACCGCCATATTTCTCCCCAAGAAGTTCATCGTTTTCCGAAGCCCAAGACCGTCTTCGATATGTTGTACCATCGAATCACAGAAACGATCATATCCGTGAACATCCCTCAATATAAGTATGACCTCCACCATGTTTTTCACAGTCTGTTTGATTGGACATTCCTCGTCATCACCACCGTGGTTTTGAGAATGACAGTGATAGCAGGCTAGCTCTGTTGTATAAGCATCCCCGTTGTACTCTTTCAGTGGATGAACATTTCGTATGAATTTGTTCCACCGTACGAGATGTGAGAAACCTGGAACTAGTTTATCCCTCGAAATTTCTCTTGCAAGCGCATCCATTTCTTTCTGGGTGTTGAGTTCAAAATCACTAAGATCTGTACCAATTTTCTTCTTCTTTTTGGTGTCTGCTACTGGCTCTTCGTTTTCTGAAGTCTCCGGAGCTGATCTCTTTGAAGGTATATTGTCAACATAATCATGAACATTCTGGATAACACGAGCCTCGAGATTGCGCTGCACATTCTTCAAATTCAAACTTCCCAAGTTCTCCATCAGTTCTTCCGCTGAAGCGAACCTTGCCATGAATGTGTCAATTAAAGGCGCAATTGCAGAGTCATCTGCTGTATTGAAGAGATTCTTGTAGAAAATGTGGTCCACCTTGGAATTTTCATCATTCTGAAATCGGTTAAAATAATACTGGTTCAATCTAGTTTGTAAGAGATTTCTGCACTCTTGTGCAAGAAAGAGAAACTTGACATCTGCTGTCTCTGTGGGCTTCCGAGCAGCTCTTCCAATGATCTGAACCAAAGTTGGAAGTGAGAAGAATCCTGTAAGGTAAACCGAAGTGATGCCATCTATATCGAGACCAGAGCTAGCGGCAGTTGTAGTGAGCAACGTGATACCATCAGAAGCTGTTCGAAGCCGATCTTGTATGGTCTTCTTCTCCTGGGCTGGAAGCTCCCCATGGAAAACACAGCAATGTCCCTTTTCGAACTGGCTTAGACTCTGGCGATAACTCTCCATGGCATTCTTGGAATCAAAAAATATGAGTGATTTCTCCTTTTGTTGAATGGTCCTGTTTACAAGGCTGGTCATCATCCATTTCTGTTCCTCAGGTGAATCCACCACAAACAGAGATGGTTTGATGTTTGTGCGAACAAACGTCTCTTCGTTGAATATCTTCACTTTGTTCGGACCACTCA